GAAGTTGTATGTGTTTGCGTCCTTGGTAGATGTGAGCCACCGATTCCGACAGCACGATCAGCCACCCGACAGACAAGGAGTACACCAGCGCTGACCACAGGACGGCCGGGTACGTAAACAGGATGAAGGGCCGCACGGCCACCCGCAACCACTTGTCTTGTGCCAGCCGACCATTCCACGGCCGGAGTGTATGGATATAGGGGACAGGAGGCCGTTCACGAAGCCTGTGGGTGTACAGCGCGGAGGGGTTCATGGTCACAACATGATCCTCCGAATCACTGCGCAGCGGAGACAACGATACCGGCCGCGCAGCTTCAAGATCAGGTGCCGGGCTGACTGCGTCAGAACCGGCTGCAGCGTGACCTTGGGAAACTGGAGCTGGACTGGGCAGTGCCGGAGACGAAGGTGCATTCGCATCGCCGACGTTGGTTCCATCTCCAGGACGCTCACCAATCGGCATCTCACCAGATTGATCAACCTTCATCTCTTCCTGTTTCTCGTTCACTTCGCTATCCACAAATCCCACATGAGCGTCCTTCTTCCTCTTCGCCGCGGACGGGCTCCGGGACAGAGTGGCCTTTTCCCCTGCGGGTCGAGGTTCGGGATGCCGGCCCCGAAAGCCGTGGTGGACCAAATCCGACACGCTTCGATACACTTTCGGCCGCTTTGATCGATCCCGCGGTCGAGGCGTTCGATCCCAGAATGTCTCGGGGACAAAAAAGAACAGCAACAGCAGACAGCCTCCAACGATCATGGCAACCACCCTGTTCGATGTGAGTCAGACCTAATCCAACCATCGGGATATAAGAACCCTACCAGAAGACCCAGCGCCATCCACGGCTCTCAATGATGGCCGCACTGACCAACGGCACCAGGTTCTTCCCACCAAGAAGCAGGAGGGTGTAGATCCCAACGCGATACGCACGTTCATGCAGGAAGAAGATCTCAGCGATAGTTGCGGATGGCAGACACTCCACCGGGCTCACAGCGAGACCCTGGAAGATGCGTGCCACCACCAAACTGGGGTAGTTCGGTGAAAGGGCACACCAGACCGCTGACAAAATGAACAGTGTAGCCCCGAGAAGATAGATCGGGCGTTTCCCCCATAGAATGGCGGTCGGAGCCATGATCACGGAGCCCAGGCCCAAGCCCATCATGTACAGGCCTGTAGTGTATGCGACCTGCTGGGTTGTCACGGCATAGTCCTGGGCCACTTGCCCGAAGCCTGCCGCCAGAACCGGGGTCATCCCTCCTCCCATCATACAGTAGAAGCCGAGCGACAGCAGGGCGGCATCTCGTCGCCACTTCGGCCAGTTGAGGGGGTCGTTCAGGGAGTCATCCGGCTGGGGCTCCAGCACAATCCGGCCATCCGGTGTTCTCTTCTTGGGAACTACCGACCGAGAGGACGACCGCGACGGCGGATAAGGCGAGGGCAAGGACGAGGCAGATGTGCGGGCTGGCTGGTGCTTCAACCCCAGAGGTTGATTCCTGTTAGAAGCAAGGAGAAGCACGGTTCCTGGAAGAATTGTCAGCCACGCTGCGGACAGTAGAAGATTGATGGAAGAGCAGCACTACACTTACCGGGAACCTCGTCTGTCTCCTTGTCACTCAGGATGCCCAGCGTCCATTTGGAGCGATTACTCCATTTGAGATCCTCTTCAGATTCAGACTCGCTCCGCATTGACACTCCCAGGAACCTCCTCCATGGAGCTCTTATGGAGCGTTGAGGTTGACTGGGACCGCTGTCTTGCGGGTTACTCTCCTCTTGTTTCGAAGCCATCGTATAAAACTGGGATATACTCCTATGCTGCTTGCACAGAGATGAGTTGGTTAGCAGATGAAGTCCATACACAAGTGGTACCTGTAGTGATTCACCTCCAGTGACACCGTGACAGAAATAGATGGCAAATGTCAACCGAACTCCGGATAGAAACCGTCACCAAGAAGCAGACTTCCAAATCATTCCTTGATTTTCGATAATGTAGTCTGTTAAGTACGGGCGAAGTATCCAGCGAAGCACCCTTATCACCCCTCACCGCGGAGCGGGACAAAGAGGGCGTGCAAGACTGAGCGCAGAGGACATGTTGCAGACGAAAAGAATACGAAGCATCCTGAAGGAAGGAGGAGCAGCGTGCCTCTTTATTATTGCACGCAGAGCGCGGCTAGCAGAGGCAGCGATACAGAGTCGTGATGCATTCCATGGCGACGGGAAGCTTGCTGGAGGCAGCGAGGGGCCCATGTGATAGCCGGGTACATGAGGGTACCTCGCGCAGCGCGTGTTTTTGGGGCGGAGAAAGGTACCCCGGAGTACTGCCTGCCTGCTCAGTATTAGCTCATCTCCACTTGGGTCAGCCACCAAACGCAGTCGGCAGCCATTGATTCCTCGCCCGCCAGCAGGCAGCTCGAAGCGTTCTCTCTGCTTGGTGAACCAAAAGTGCACTACGGCCGCGATTATGATGATCTCCTGCACGGCTTCTTAGCCTGTTTCACTGCGTGCGCCGCTGGCCCCTCGACGCCTGCAAACTGACATTGCGAGTTCAGGCCGTCTCCTCCAGCAGCAACTGGATTGGCTTCGACGTTCAATTTCGCTCTTTGTCTTCTTGGAATTGTGAAACAGCCGCTTCGATTGCAACCACGGTCTGTACAGCTGACCAGCCTGCTGCTTGCCCGATCAAGATAAGCTGTGGTCGCCCCGCTGATCGCTGATCGACTGTCCGCCGCGATAACGCTCTCCCAGCCATTCGCAAACGCCAAGCCCGCCGCGCTGCGAGGCGTGACGACAGCCACATTGCATCATCCATCATCTGACAGCTCCAAAAAGCTGGGGAAGGGCAAGGATCATCTTGGATGTACTCGGGCGTTGTTGGACATTTCTCTTGGCTAACCGTCATCATGCAGGTCGCTGCAATGCCGGAGAAAACAATGAAGTCATTAATAAAGAGAAGCAACACGTCTTTTTCAAGGAGATTATCCTGCTTGACCAAGCCGTCTGTTACTCGTATTACTAGCTCAGGCGAATGATGATCTGCATCGGCGTGCAGTGGGTACAGTACAATCCTACCTACCGTGCTGAGGGTTCCACAGGATCAGTGCGGAGGGGAATTCGTGGAGAATCAAATGGATTTGTCTATACTTCTAAGGATAGTCATCAATCGTTTTTCGACTATGCCCTCTATACCCCAGGAAGGATCGCCTTCGCCACACCAAGCTCTTCGAACGCCTTGATAACTGGGAAAACAACTCGTAGAATCTTCCAGTTCCTGTCTGATGCATGGAGGATCTATCACGTGGATCGTGAGAGAAAACCTGGGGACATACGTCCATAAATCAGCCTGGCCTTTTTCTATTCTTGGCTATATAGACAGAACCGCCAGGAAAGCTGTGTAGGTAACTCGCCCAGCATCGCCACCACATGCATCCAGAGCCCCTTCTTTTTTTTACCTTCGCAGTCGTATTCAATACATTCTATCGACAATTATTTCTCGCTCTCTCGCGTGTCCTCCTTGTTGCATTCTTTACGTCATGACAATATCTTACTCGAAGTTACTATCGTACGTCGTTGAAGATAGACTGCAGAACGAACGACTGAAAAGATGTTTTGTCTCCAGTGATCACTCCATAGATAGATATATCTCAGACATACCATCGTGCAGGAGAGAAATACATGAATAGAGCGATCAATAGATAAACAGATACACAGCCACATAACACAGGAATAAAGGAATAATAAAATAAAATAGTCCAAAGCACCGTTCGCCATAAACTCCATGAGAGTTTCGCATCCGCCACTCCGTACGGACCGCAGTACAACAACTTGAGACCGGAGAGACCAACATCCACCATGTGATAACAACAACATGTACAGTAGCAAGAGTACAGGAGTTCCCAAATACATGGCATTGTAGATCTGTGCCGCAGCGCACACACCCTCTGTGTGGGTTTTTCGTCTTCAGAATCACCACCACTAGACCAGGCCAGACCCATCAACCACAACATGTAGTAGTAGGTAGTATGTAGTAGATACATGATTGAATTGACCACAGCACACAAACACTCATTTGCTTCTTCTCTTTCTCTTTTTCTTGTCGTTGGCTTTCCCCTTTTCCTTGTTTTTTTTTAAAAAAAAGGGAGAATAGAAACATCGCACCAGCAAACCGGTAAAAAAGGAAATACATCTCGTTAGTTGATGAGTGTATCCCGGATGTGGGAGTATAGGTACTCAAGTACCTATCCCATTCGAATGAAGATGAATGGAGGAGTAGAGATGTCTTCCTTCATGACAGTCTTTCCTCTCAGTTTTTTTTTATTTTTTTTATGTATTTTTTTTTCCGTGCTTCCTTTTTTTGCTCGTCCAGATATTTTATTTTTCTTTGTTTGTTCCTTTTCCTTTTTTTTTTTGGACTTGTTTCCCTTTCCCCTTTTTTTTCTTTGCTGTTTAACCTTTTAGTCTCCCCCCCTTGCTGTTTCCTTTTTTTGAGCGCAGACTGCAAAGATTACGGACCACTGCCACGCTCTGGATATTTCCCACCACACCACACCATATGGATACGACACCGACACCCTCAGCAGGCCATGGAACGCCACGTCGGCGAACAAAGAGAGGTCCATCGGAGATAATGAGGGTTCCGTGAGTCGGTCCTTCATCATTGTCCCTTCAATTATAGCTAGGAGATAAGATATGAGATGGCGAGCCGACAAGCGACACGTTGGTTGCCATGCAGCGAGCCGGTGATCGCATCAATCGGATAATCGTTTTGTCCTTTCACTTTCACTGGTGGTGGCGTAGGGATCCGATCGTGTTGTTCGAGATGAACAACTGAAACAACTGGATGGATCTTCCATGAAGGTGGGATGTCTAAGCGGTACGCCACGTTACCGACAGGCTCGATGATCCGGTACGGCCTGCGACCAGGGGAGAAAGCTTCGTTGTGTGTGGTAGAGTATAACCTTCTTCCTCTATTTTTCTTTTTTTTTGGGAGATTTCATATGGAATGTGCGGATGTGTGGTCCGTCATGATGAATGTCTGCATGCCGTGTGTTGCCTTTTTGATACAGCTTCCGCGAGACGTAGCGTGACTTCCGCGAGACTGAGGAGGTGTAACACGGCCACCACGGCTGGGACCAGGTTCAGATCCAGGGAGTCTGTGATCCACGAGATCCATGAACGGGCTGCGATCCATGAGATGCGTCGGGTGTCGAAGCGCCCTGATCATCCTGGGAATCGCGTAGAGGAGCCATATTGACTTGTAAACAGTAAGAGAAGAATGGGTATATGAGTCATGAGGCCTTCAGATATGAAGTCGCTTTGGTCCGTCGAATATATCAACTATGAGATGATTTAATAAAATACGAGTGAGGCACTTTTTTTCGACTCGTCGCGGCGGTGATTGCTGTCGCCTGGTTGAGAAGTGATGAGATGTTCGATCGAGAAGCGAGGAACCCCTGAAGCTTCTCATAAATGTCGGAAGCACCTGCTCGATTGCTGCATGGATTGCCGCATTGTCTGGTTCGACGTGAAGGTACTTTCTCTTCGTCGGTCAGCCTTTGATAACTTGTGAAGGTTTGACTCATCTCGCTCGTTTATTGCTTTCCGTATCCAGCATGCAGAAGCCAATGCGAATCAGGCCATACATATTCTGATCATCGCGCTTGTTGGACCACAAGTCTAGCATATCGCCTTGAAGCTGGGTTTCCGCCAATTTCGAATCCGAACCTGTGTACTTCAAGCGCGTATTTTCCATGAAAATTGCTTTTTTTTCTTTTCAAGGTGTTGTTTTTGAAGTTTGTAAGAGCGACGTAGGCTTTTTTGGCCTCGGGATCGACTCCCTCTCCAAGCCAGGGTCGTTGATGGAAACGTCTTGCGCAATTTCGCGATGTATGACTGCACGCGCGGTACCCGGGATAATTCATCTCGACGATGATGAAAAATCTATCACCAATCTCAAGCCGTATGTAAAAATCTGTCAAGTGCCATTCTTCTCTGCTTGAAATCAGCAGTCTCTGTAGGATTCGCCTGCTCTGTCTGATTGGCCGGTTCACTGCCAACATGTAGCCTTGGAGTTGATAGAAGGCTGCATTCCGTTCAGTTGAAGAATTTTCAAACGACTTGCGCTTATTCTCCATGATTATCACTTTGTGCAACGTGCTATTTCTAATATTTGTCACTATAACATGGGACTTCCTGTCTTGACCAGGATCTGGGCGGCTTTCCCTCTCTACACTGAACTGAGTTTTTTTAGGGAAGTAATGACGAAAGATATTGGTCCAAAGGTGATCAACTTTTTCTTCCAGAGATTCATCGTCGATTTGGTTGATGTATTTTGTAATAGGCGCGCTGTGGATGTACTGCTTTTCAATCTTTTCCAGGTGATTGAGGATTGTGCGGATTGTCAGGTCCTCAGGATCTAAGCCGATAGCTGGTGCTCTGCTGGGCCACGACCAGGAAGGCAATATTGAAGAAGCCACTCTTGAAGAAGCCACTCCTTTGCTGGTAGAAAAGCGAGGAAGGACAACATGAGGGGAGCGGTTTCCGTGCGTAGATCAGAGGTGTTTATGTTCTAGCCTCAGATTTGGATCATCCACGTTCGGTGTGGTTGGGGCTCTCAACACTGTAGACGCGTACGTGGGTCGGAGTGATTGTCCTTAGGCGTAATCTATCCGATCAGTGGCCCCTGTGTCTGTACCACTTGTTTGTTGATCGTTATTTTGTCGTCTGCTGCGTTGACAACTTCTCCAGTAATTCCTTTGGGCCATCGAGGCCATCGACGTGATGGACGGCATAACGATGGCGATGCCATTCCCATTTCCAGCACCTATTGCCCAGACGTTTCATTTGTCCGGTGAAAATATCGGTCGTATCTAGCAATCGTATTGGTGAAGTCCTTGTAGAAGAGGTGTGCCCTGGATTTCCATATTTTCGGAGGAAACATCAGATCACCCCGTATGAAGTTGCAGTTGGCTTCTTAGTTTTTCGTCTGTCAACATATCAATTGTGATATGAGGATGATTGATGAATGAAGTTGTCTTGGCCTGAAAGAGAAGGGTCTAAACAAGGGTGTCGCCGTTGACGCGATACTCTTCAGGCACCTGATCGTAGACCTCCCGGGGGACTTTGACGATGGCATCGCTGCCGTCGCGGTTTTTAACCCAGTATCCAAAATCGACGTCTCGGGCCTCATTCTGAGGGTCGCTTCGGAAAGCCGCAAGCTGCTTCTTGCGGATCCGGTTCTCAACGAGCATCGCCTGTCTGACCCATCGCTTAGGAATGGAAATTTTTCCAGTATTGAAGTTCGCTGACAAAATAAATGCCCCTAAGTCCAGAACCTGACGAGTGATGGTGATCCTTTGTCGAACAATTTGGAAATGAATCCTCGGTTACGTCTTTGGCCGTCCAAAACTTAACACCTGGAGCTTCTGCTGCATCAGGGAGTTCATTGCGCGGGTTGTGAGGAGGCCACTGGAATTGCCGTCCCGGCTGACCTTGGTTGTCTCGTGGATAAGGTAGAACCATAACCACGTGTTCGTCAGTAGCAGGATACGGTATTTTGCCATGTTTCACCTGAGTTGGCCTGTCTGCATTCATCTTGCTCTTGCTCGATTTCGTGGTTCTTGTCTCTCTGCGCGAAGGATTGCAAATTGCGCCTTTGAAGTCGTACATGTTAGGCTGGTTCTCTTGAACCGCTCATCACCACGACTCGTGTTGTAGATTTGATCGGGAGGAACTTGTTTTTCGTAAGCAATGCCGCGATGGCGTAGCCAGTCGGTCAGGAATCTCCTTTCTAAAAACGACCTTCTGCCGATGTCTGATGAAAGCCGTCTGGGAGCGAGTAGAAGGCACCGAAATTGTCTAGGCCGGGGTAGTAGGTAGGGACCAAAACCATCTGGATTCGGAGTCGGTGCGGGATCACTGTATTTTTGATTCCTGCCGGCGAGCTTTGTCACTTTTTGCGAACGCAGAGATCGCAGTTGCTTTGAGATTCTCGTAGTTGTTCAGAATGATCGGGTCTCGTTGTCTCTCGTCTGCCAGCCAACGTAGTGCGGTGCCACGGAACAGGGAGGCGAAGTAAGCTGCTTGCTTCCGTTTGTCTTCGTCGAAAGCGTCGTCTGTCAAGAACTTGATTTCGGAGTAGGTAATGGCTTCCCAGAGCTGGTGTTCCTTGCCGTAGAAGAGGACTTGCTTCGACATTTCTTCGTCTTCCTGTGTGATGGAATAGCAGTCGATTTGGTACTGCTCTGCGTCGCTAGTCGTGCCACTTGTAGTATAATAGTGCGGTGCGCCTTCGTCGTATGCCCGTCTGTTCGCGTCTCCAGGGGCCAATCTTGCCTCGTCTGGAACCCAACTTCCTCGACTATCGTACCCTCGTCTCGAATCTCTTTCACTCAGGGCTTGCTGGCTCTTACTATAAGGTATCCTTGATGAACTCATGAATGGGGATGGAGGCCAAAGAGTCCCGGGATAATCCTCTTTTCATTGAGTTGGCCTCGAGGTTCTTGTCTTCCGTCCGTCCTCCCCCCCCTTTGGATTGCTTTCAACTCTCGGGGGCTGTATTGTCGTAACTGTGCATTATATCGGAACTCTTCTGTGGTCTCGATAGCTACCTCGACGTTCATTGTGGACAGTAGGAGATGGGGGTCAAAGGATAAAACTAAGTCGGCACATGGATCTCGCTCCGATTCAGTGTGTACAGCACGAACAGGCATGCCTGGCTCTGGCTTTGGATCCTCTGGATATGAGTAGGATTGTTGCCTCCCATATCACAGCATTTGGGGACGCAAAGTTGGAAGAGACAACGAGATTTGAAGGGATGTTATTTCCATCGGCTTCTTGCTTTTATTTCAATAATGGAGCGTAGAAGTGAAGAAGCGTCGAATTCATAAGTAAGGCTCCCAGAATCCTCGCAGGGAGCGTCCTGCACTGCTCGATTGGTAGCATGAACACCCGTTTACTAGGCGGCATTCCACAGATAATAAGAACGTGTGCAACTGAGGCTCGGCTTGGCCACTTGCATCGCCTCAGTCAGTAAGAGCAACAATGAAAGAGTTTCCATGTAGGCGCCCCTTTCTCGACTCTTCGTGGTGGCCATTTCCGTCGTCCCAGTTGCGCATAGAAGTTGTGATGTGGGCGGAATCTGCAAGTGAGGCTTCCTTCTCCCATTGCGACATGGAGATGACGACGCGTATGGCCGTGCCAAAACCAATCGCCTTTCCACACAAATCGCTGATTTTCTTTCTGTCGTAAGGCAAAGGCACGAAGAAGATCACTTCTCCTCATAATCCAGGTGATGCCGGACTCTTGATTGACGCCTGTCCGTATAAATAAAAGGGGACATGACTTTTCAGTATCTTCTACCCGAGCATGTTGTATGTTTATTGCTCGTGATTGAAAACGACGAGAGGGTAGTCAATGACTCCGTAACGTTTGAGTCGTCGATGAGTTGGCGCCGCCTTGGGTGATGAACGTCGATGATCACTCGTCTGCTCAGAAGCCACCCATTTCAAGCTTGAGTTTCTCTCAGTATTATCTGGCCCCGACAACAATCTTGCTCCGATAGAGAGGGTGACGCTGGCTTATTTTCGAGGCCCATCTGAGAGGGCTAGCCAGTGTGTATTCCTTCAGCGTGGTGATCGCATCCGCCGCATTTTTCTTTTGCTTCTGGAACCACTCCCTTTCGCTTCGCGCCTTCGGGGTCGCCAGCTGATCCTCGGGATGCGGTCTGACATTTGCTTCCCGTGGAGGAGTTGCCGAGCTGCCGCAATGTGATCATCATTTTCATACACGAGAATTGTGCACCGGAACTGTCGATCTTGGTGCGCGCATTGGAAGGCCAGCGTCGTGCTTTGGGTCGAGGACTGTAGGGGCTCCATGCCTGCCGCGATTTGATCATCGTTCTCGTAGCCGACGATTGCGTATCTAAGGTGTCACTTTTTGCTCGCGAGTTGGAAGGTAAGCATCATGATATTTGATTAATGTGCTTCTGCTTCAGATGGCTTGGCAATGCTGAACGAGCTTCACGTCTGCGGCATGATGGTCATCGTTTTCGTAGCCAAGAATGCGTGGAAGACCTGTCGCTTTTGGTTCGCTTATTCGACGGCCAGTATCATAACATTCGGTCAGCGCGCTTTGGTTCAGATGGCTTGATAGATGCTGGTCTAAGCTCTGGCTCAGTAGCGTAATTCATTTTGGGCACATCAGCGTGTTTGGATTGTCGCCACGATCGGCCATCAAGCTTGCTGGTTGTGTCAGGGCACGTAGACGGATCCAAGGATATAAAGGCGAAGACGACACCAGGTAAATGCTGTGGACGGCCTCAGGATGGCCATGTAGGGGCCGCTGAGGGTCGGCGCCCACGATTGCTGATGACATGCTTCTCCCATCATCATCCGCGATCCGATGGTCAATTTGCTCTGAAGAACAACAGCTTGCCTTTGAATGGCTTGTTGATGGCGAGGATTTTTGTATCCCTTGATGATATTTGAGCAATTGTGCAGAGGATATCAGCTTCGGTTCGAGTCGCTGATATGTCCGTGCATTGTAGTCGGCCTTGTGTGAAATTCCATGCAGTAGCCTGAGCAGGCAATGTGTAAAATCCAAGGCTTTTGGGTATTCCACGATCCATTGGATGCGGATTTTCCAGGCGACATCGAAGATTGAACGTTTTGTTAAGCCTGTCTTGTCGTTCATGCTGGGTGTTGAAGTAATATTGCAGGCGATTTATCTTTTTGTAAGCAGCGGACACCATCGCGAAAGTAAGAGGCTCTCTGCCACTTGAGCCAGGATGTTCCAATCTCAACCCTTGCAGCCAGGGGTTCTAAATTCATTTTGGTCCTGACATGTTATGACGCCGAGAGGCATTGGATTGGCAATGGGAAATTCTTGGATTGTCACACAGGTCGCATGCGTACTCGCGGGGATTGCCCGAGTTGTTGCTAAGATTTTTTGGTAGAGAATATTTCCTGGGCCGTTGAATGATTGAACGTGGTCGCAAAGACAGACGGGTGAGCACGATCTGAATGCCTCCGGTTAACGCCGACTGCGGGCACGGCTTATCCATTTCGATAAGGCGGCGCCAACGCACAATTTGCGAGTTCGATATTGTATAGCATCAAGGCAGGGCGTTGTCGAACCTGTTGTCGGCTGAGATTCCGGACGTTGAGGTATAGCCACCCGCCAGATCCAAGACAGTAACTGCGGGGGTGGCCAAGATAGGTGCTATAATGACCTTGCGAACTTGTTTCGATTGAGCAAGCTCCCATCGCGAGCAGCTGCGGTTCGTTTTTGGTTCATCAACCACATCAAGGGAGAGGACCGAGATTGCAATAAAGGCCGAGAAGCAACATGCCGGCTGAAGATAATCGTTCGGCTCCTGCCATGACGGGTAGGGAGGCAGAGGCACGACGTGGATCTTGACAACGGTATCATAATGTTGAACATCCATTTCACAAGGGACAGCGCAGTTGAGATACTGTAATGGCTGCGGCCCACGAAAGAACAATGGCGACGGGTGTGTCATTCAGAGAGACATGTCTCCCAGAGTCATGGTGTTTTGATCGACAATCTCATCAACCGTCGCCTTCGTAAAGTTTAATGCCAAAGATGTCTCTTGGATCCAGGAAGCAACACCGTTGTGATGCATATTCTAAGTGGAACATGCGACGGACGTTGATGAAAAAAGTTGAACCAAAGAGCGAGTCGCGGAGGTTTCTTTCATTTTCGTGCTTTGGGAGTGGTACAAGATGCTTTGGTCTCTTCTTTGGACGGATCGTCTCGAATAGTTGGAGAGTGATCGCCATGTTGCCGGTAGGAAGCGAATGGTGGATTCGGGGATGAACATTGAGTGTTCCTTCTCCCCGTGCCGAGTCTCCGCAATCAAACGCCAGGACAGTAAGCGTTAATATGCGTACTGCATGTATCCTTCGTCACAAATAACTCGAAGTTGTTGTTGACGATGTCAAGCACGGCAGCAGGCACCATTGCTGATGCATCTCTAAGCGGGTCTCTTGTGGACGGAGACTGGCACATGACAGTCATTTCAGTCATCGATATTCGATGAAGAACACGTTCAGCTTTGAATCTTTGATGGCCTAGCTTTTGTAGTTGACAACGTGTCAGGGCTGCTCGAGCGGATTTGGCTCAAAGTAGTGGGTGCCGATAATTTCATTCATTGTGGGATGTCGAGTCCCTCATCCATCCCTGGTGCTAGAACTGGATTTTCAGCTTCCATGTTCTGCTCAATGACATCCCATATCAACTCGGACGCACGTAGGCTCCCACACCGGCATTGACAGGGTTGAGATAGGTGGACATGAACTGCCCTTTCCATACGCCGGATATGGCATTTGGCGGCAGCCCCATGCCGATTGATGTCCTTCACGACGGCGTGGAAGTCTGTTCGGAATGTTAGATCACAGAAACAAGAGGCCACGAGATGATGAGGATTGGGTTCTTACACATTTTGGCGGCGTGCTAATGTCGCCGCAACGTATGCCTTGGATGCTGTTCTTGATTCACGACAGACTCTCTGTCGACGTTGGCGATGACGACTCTCTTCTCCCGTATTTTCAAAATAAAATAAAGAAAAGAGAGCTTCAGAAATGCTAATTCGTGGAAGGCGTGACATACGGCCCTTTCTTCTTGTTCCTCTTGTCCTTTGGTTCCCCTTGATCTTTCCCTGGAAGGCGAGAGCGCAGGGCACTAGGCCGAAGAACATGCCGATAATCGGAAGATTTCCATCTTCAAGGGATGGTGGACGAAGATGTATCTCGTGTTCGAGATGTCTCCATCAAGAGTATCTCCGAACCGAAAGGAGGAGGAAGCGGAATGGTTGCGTTCCCGCAAGCCTCGGAGATAAAGGAGGAAGAGGAGATACAGACGAAGATAAGAGGTCGAAAGTTGAAGAGCTTGATCCAGGGTTTGATGTAAAAAAGAAAAAGAGAAAGAGTAAGAGACAAGAAGAGAGGGAGGGATGTATAAGGGATGTATAGCTTGGAGCTGAAGAAGAACTGCGAGGACGTGAACCAGGGAAGGCAAAGTCCATGGAAAGGAAGAAGCAGAGGATATACTATAGAAGTATAAGAGTGTGTATAGTAGTAACATCCTTTGCACAGGGAGGAGATATAATAATATAAGAATGTATGAGAAGTTGGTGATGTGAGAAGGAAGAAGGGGAAAAAAACGCGGCTGAGGTGGGCGAGAGGGTAATATTTATAACCCTCCCAGCTCGCTTAGAGGCACCGCAGACCACCATCGCTTAGGAACGAAGCGTGAATGAAACAGGTCGCTTAGCAACAAGGCGTGAATGTTGTGGCATCGCTGATAGGCAGATCAGCCTTGATTCCTAGCTGATGGCAGCAAATACAGTGACGACGCAGGTGTAGATTGACGAACCAGATACAGAACAGCGATGCAGATACTAGGTACAGAGTGAAGACTCAGGTATACAGTGACAGAGACTGCCACAGTCAGCCAATGACCGACCAGGACCAGAGCAGAGACGTGAATAATGAACGGCATCAGCCAGAAGGGAAACTGTAGAAGAGATGATTTCCGCATCTAATGCATGCAGAGCAGTGACGGGCGTACAGATGTGGCGGCCGCTAGAGCTGAACAGTGACGACCTGGATATCGATTAGTGACGATGGTGCGGTTAGTTTGACCTACTATATTCACGTTTTATGGACAGGTGGCGCCACCTGCTATGCAGTGACGACTTGGTTAGTGACGACCTGGTTCGCAGTGACGACCAAGCGGTAGGCAGGGAGACACAGAACTGTGCTAGACTGGAGGTGGTGATCGGCCTGTGGCCATGAATATTGGAAAAGGGCCTTTATCACCTCATAAAGTTGCAACTCATGGAACTGGAGATTAGGGCTGGATAGAGCTGTTGGGCCGGTCCATCATTCTTTCTGCTGTGTACAGCCTTAGTAGTACACCATCTAGAGAAAATCAGATACAAATTTTTTCCTGAACTCTTCGAATCGGAAGGAAAAAATCTTTCAGCAGATAAGGATATCATTTCCGTCGACTTCAGGACTCTCAAATTACAAGCGGTCGAGTCTTGCACGAGCAGACCCAGTAGTTCTGTGAGGGACTGATAGCTACAGGAAGAGCGATTCTGACCCGATGGCACGTAGTTTCTCGAGTTGTATGTGATAATATATTGTACTGACCTAAGCACACAAGACCGCTGAAGGGATAGAGGAAACCTATTTGCCCTGCTTCCGGTGCAACCTAAGGTCTTGGTAAGCCTCCATAGGGTTTCCATCCCAAGAATCCAACAGGAAAGCAGGAACCGACGACATCGAACGAAGGAAGAATATTTGCAGGAGAGCAGGAACGGATTTAGGACAAGATAAACCCCTTGTGAGCTGCAGACAGCTACCACGGCTAAGTAATGAGATAGATACAAAGCCGCTACCTTCGAGCGAACACTAGACGAGTAGAGGCCCTTGGAGAGCTGGAAAACGAGCGTGGCAGAAATAAGCTTCTTAGCCCATCTTTGATCCGAAGAAAGTCGATATCAATACTCTGCGCCTGCAGGACCGAGGCTACTCGACGGATTCCAAGTTTCCAACCATGGAAATGCGAAATACCAATATCAGTTGACAGGACGAGTGGAGCAGTGATCTGCCCAGCCAGTGCTAAAATTAGCTGCAATCCAACAGACAAACTGGGGAGGCACGTGCTCGCCTGGGGAGATGACAGCTGAGAAGCAAGGACCAAAGTCAACATCCAATGACCAGTCTGGCGGCACCTGCAAAGAATGCCAGCCTGCAATAATGCCCGAATCAGGCAAATCTGGGGTTCTGCACCAGCGATCGAGTCTGGATTTATTCCCGCTTGCGGACCTGCGTCGGCGGGAGTCACGTGAGCAGCATCAACGTGTCCCGAGCCCCTTGCACGAACGCTGTTGCACTGCAAGGCTGTCTCTCCTGCTCAAACCGCATTTCCCCAGCATTCCTCGTTCGCAATTGATTGCTTCTTCTTCGTGCGTTTTCTATGCGGCCTGCTTAATCTTAATTCTTTTGTTCTTCCGCCTTCCCTTTCATTCCTCGCTCCCTTTGACCCTCCGCAAAACTCGGTCGGGTCCGCGTCCTGAATTCGACTCCTTGTACAACTATAATCTGCGATGAAGATCCGTCGTCTTTCTCCAGCACTTGCGCTTTTGCTCCTGACAGCCGTGTCGACGACTCTGGCTGAGTCCTCCAGTGACAGCACACCGACCTTAACCCAACGGGATGCAAGCGTCGCCGATGCTGTACGGCCGGAATCCAATCTTCTTGCCTCTCCAAAAGCCGCTCCCAAAGGGACGCTGGACGCCCCTGTAGACGGCAAGGATGGCAAACCCCACGCTGGTCCGTGGGTAGAAACCAGCGCCGAAAGAGACCGCAAGAAGGAGAAGGCGGACGGCAAGGCAGTTGCCGACAAGTTGGATACTCACGATCTGAGTGTCGAACACATTGGACCGGATGGAAAACCCATGCCGCATTCGAATGACGGGGTCATGGACGATCCGCACCGAGTAGGACCGAAGGAAGGCACTCGCGGAACCGAGGGAGGCGTGTCGGAGAAGAGCAAGGAGAGCAAGTTCGCTACAGAGAAGGTGCCCGAGACGCCCAAAGAGGTGCCTCCATTGCCGCACAGTGAACAGGAGAAGATCCCCAATCTCGACGACAAGGACTTGCCAGAGACGAAGGCTCTAGAGGACGGGGAGAAAGTGCTCGAGGTGCGACTGGCATTGGATGGCTACAATTGACACTGATGCTGACATTTTTTGCTCCTCCAGAAACCAGCCGATCTACCGGAGAAGCCTCACGACATCCCGCCCCCGAAATCACCAGCTCCCGTGAGTAGCGATCCACTCAAACTGAAGTCTCCCTCCACCGGTGGATCGTCGAGCGGTTCCTCCAGCGGCTCCTCGAGCAGCTCCAAAACAGGAGCTGTTTCCGAAGGAAAAGTCATCAGCCCGATTCACTCCCTCTTCCTCTCCCTGACCATGATCGTCTTCTCCGAGATCGGTGATAAAACGTTCCTCGTGGCGGCTCTGATGGCGATGCGCCATCCCCGCCTCGTCGTTTTTTCGTCTGCATTTTCGGCCCTGGTGGCGATGACCGTGCTCTCCGCTGTTCTCGGGCATGCCGTTCCGACGCTCATTCCCAAGTCCTTTACGAAGCTCCTCGCTGCGGGATTGTTCTTTGTTTTCGGTGCCAAGATGTTCCGAGAAGGTCGCGCCATGTCGCCTGATGAAGGCGTTAGTGAGGAGATGAAGGAGGTCGAAATGGAGCTGGAAGAGAAGGAGCACCAACAGAGGCGGATGAGCCGGCGTCGGTCGTCGATCAGTCCGTACGCGTTGGAGGCAGGCCGCGCAGGCCGCAAGGGGCGTTCAACCAACCGTCTACCTTCGCCGCCGGAGAGCATCTCCTCCTCGTCATCTCGTGAAGTTTCACCCGTCCGCAGCTCGACGTGGCAGAATATCCTCGTGGGAGTCAACAATCTGTGCTCTCTGCTGTTGAGCCCTGCGTGGGTGCAGACGTTTGTCATGACGTTTCTGGGCGAATGGGGCGACCGGAGCCAGATCGCGACGATCGCCATGGCCGCCGGACAGGATTACTGGTGGGTCACCGTCGGAGCAATCACGGGGCATGGCCTGTGTACGGCCGCAGCAGTTATTGGGGGGAGGGCGATTGCGGGGAGAGTTAGTCTTCGAGCTGGTATGTACCCTTAACTGGATGAAATTTTTAAATGGGATACTGACATGACGCAGTGACGTTGGGCGGCGCAGTTGCGTTCTTCATTTTTGGCATCCTTTACTTGATCGAGGCAATATATTAGCTGAGCGATCGGTTTCGCACGGTCGCAACTAGTCATTTTGTTCCTTTCCCTTAAAGCTATAATAAAAAATCCTTAGATATCCCCGCCGCTGCGGACGCGAGTGGCGCTTTTTTCGCTTTTCACTTTTTTTCACTTTTCACCTTTGATACCGTACGTATTGACATGTGCGACTTTGATTCCTTACTTTTTTTTTCTATTAATCTTGCAATGTCTTGGGTTCAGCCGTTGATTGATTAGACTCGGCGCTTGGGGACCGGGGGTCTAATAGGGGCTATCTATGTAATACTAACCTAACTATCAGCTAATAGAGAGAGAGGATGGGATTGGCTTTTTTCCACTCTGTGAGAGATGTACTGTACTGTACTGTACAAGAGGGAGATGATGACTTGGTAGCGGGAATGACTGGCGTTTATCGTGCTAGAAAGAGAAAATGAACATTCTGTTGGAGTGCTGTCATATGGTGTTTTATACTTTTCTATGGGAATTGTAAGAGAGAGTTGCAGCGAGACCATCCATCGTCATCTAATTGCTTTGTATTGCGACCTGACTCGATATTCGAGTCGAGTTACGATAAATTTTTTCCGGGAGGTAAATTCAAAGTGAAAATGGAGGGGAAAAAAAAGAAAAGAGAAAGTAGCTTGTGCAAGACAGCTTTAAGATTAATTCTGGCTTCGTTTGTTATGGAGATTGTGGTCAGCATTATATATTTATTTGTTTAAGGTCCCTGCGATGGAAGTCATGTCCAACATACTCGTTGAGTAACAATTAAAAATCCTTCTCCACCTTAATAAATAACGATCAATGCGAGTGATCAACAATCGATTAAAATTAATTAATTAATTAATTCCATTCAAGATCGTGAAATTCGTGATGCCTTGTTTCTGAATGGATTTTCGTCTGCGTCCGCCTGTCGATAGCCATCATCAGTCCACAACATGCATCAACTAACTGTTACGCGCTGGGTCCAACCGTAGTCGTCGATACTTAGCAATGGTGGTTAGGGAAGGATCAAGGAGTCTTCCTGACTCTATGTCGTTCACGAGCACGCGACGGTCTGACTGACCCGGGTCTCCTCTCCTTGAGACAACGGCCTACCTGGCGAAGGGCTCTTCCTCGAACGACCTCTCTCGATATAGTGGGGTCTCACAGGGACACACACAACAAGTAGGAGCTCTCCAAAATAAGAATAACAACAACGACTAGGTCAGAGGCAACGCCTACTAGAGCTATACCGAAGTATACCACTAGTAGTAAGAAGTCTTACTGACCCCCAAAGTAAGTATCTTAGTAACAATGATCTTAATGAATTGAAATTGAGCGCGAGTAAAGAAAGAACTAGATACATGACCAGAATCCTTCTTCCTTTTATAACCTTGTCATCATACCTTCTCATCATACCTTCCATTTGGTATACCCCTTTGGTAGATCATACCATCATACCAGTCCGTGCTTCTCGGTATTCCGGTATACTTGTCACGTGATCTTGTGCTTGCCCTGTTGCTGCCTTGCAGGGTTTCTGTTTCATTGCATTGCTGTGTTGGACAGCGTTATCTCCTGTTGGTTCATAACACTAACTCGATCTCAAAAAAAGCAGGAAAATAGAAAACGTCAGAAACTACCTTCCTGCAATATCTTACGTTTGACTTTATATAACTAACCCTAATTTCTAACCCTAAGAAGCAAAATCCCACGCGAAACAACGCAAATTCGCCGATCGCACACAAAAGTAATACGACTTAATCAGGGTGATGAATATCTGATATCTTCCTGCAATTTTTCAGACGTTAATTCCTTCTCGTTGGGTTGACAGAATTAACCCTACGTACACCTCTAACCCTGCGATCTAACCCTAACCCTTAACCCTAACCTTAACCCTACTCCTAACCCGAACCTTTTCAACCCACAAAACTAACCCTAACCCATAACCCTTGGTGCCTGAGGCATCAACGCGCCAAGAGCCCGGCTTTGACCCTGCGTAACTGTCCTAACGCTACCTTCGCCCTTTCGCCCCTTCCCACCCTTTTGTTGTTGCTAGGGGCTAATCCTGTTGATCCATCCCAAACAAAACAAAACAAACGCTCACTAGCCCATCGAATCCATCCATCATCATCCGTCTACCTTTGGCAATCAAATGGGCCCAAGGCTAAATCCACACTGAACGTCTTTTTCGTCATCGACATGGCGTTCGTCAACCCCCTCGACAAGTACCGGCTCAGCTCGTCGCCACCCCAACAGCCCCGACCGCCAAGCACCACGCGCAGCGCCCGCCCTGCCGCGTATCCCCAGTCACTGTCGCCCGCGTCGTGGGAGTATCACAAGGCGGCCACCACGACGCCCGTGCAGCGCCAGCAGCGACAGCGGCGTCCACGGCAGACTTCGCAGTCGGTCAGTCCGTCCAGACGACGCGTCACCAGGAGCCAGAGTCGTCAGCTCGAAGCGAGTCGGGGCGATGATGCGGAGAGGTTGGCCGGCGCCGCGAGGCGTGGTAAGGCGAAGGCAAAACAGAACACAGGTCAGTATTGAGATGGATTGATTTGATGTTCATGATTATGATTATTGTCATCCTCTCTCTTCAAGCACTCTCAATTTACGGTGCACTGTTTGCTCTGATATCTCTTCTGTGAATTGTTTATCGAGTCTGATTGTACCATTCATGACGCCTCATGAAAGTAGTTTTTCTTTTCTTTTCTAACTGGATCATTTGAATGTCAATCTCATTATTATCTTTATCATTGCTTGGATCGTCTGCTCACATCCACAGATTTGGCCGCCGTAATCGAAGAACCCCCATCTGCCAGCCAGTCACATGCTCGTGACACCATTCCAGAGTCGCCAGAAGAGCATAACATCTCAGGAACCACCATTCTTCCAGCCGAGTCAGAGCCAGATACAGGCGATCTGGACCCCCTCATGATGATTGAGGCGCTGCCGGATCTGCAGCGTGCTGCATCCGCTGTGCTGGAGTTTTTCGCGCCAAATTTGACGTCACCAGGCAGCATCATTGACCTGGCAAAGCGCCTTCAGGATCCGAAGAGCACTCAGAGCAGGCGGCTGGAGCGTTTGCGATCCAACTTCTCGACCGAGACGAAATACTTTGGCAACCAGACGTATATAGAAGTCGAGCAGGTCGCTCGCGCCTTGCCGTCGGTTGAAATACCTCCCGCGCCAGGATCATCGCAGGCGAGGTCCTGGCAGGCAGACGGCATCTTGTTCAAATCAAATTGCGCCCGCCTTGCGCTTGAAGTCCTCACTCGCCCTTCGTTTTCAGCCTCCGTGGAGAGCGCAATTTACGACCTGGAGGGGAAATTCCCTTCTCCGTTCCTCAATGCGCTCGTCAGAGAAAGCGAAATCAACACCGCCGGGAAGAGCAGTCTTCGACGGGCGACGTTCGACCTGGCACTGGATATCAGGACGCAATTCTTGAAAGTTAATCTGGAAACGCATAAGAACGACGACAACTTCAGTCCGAATGCCATTCTGAACCATTCATTCTTCAATGAAATTCTTGAAACGCAGGAAGATGTCGACCAGCCTCCCCTCCGAGGGTTCAATCTGTCAATGTTCCAGGATGAGGATGGAAATCTGCCTTCGCGCTATGAAGACGACGTGCTGGACCGCGTCAGCGACATCCGCAAGTTTTTCAGAGACGATGAGGTAGATTTCGAAGGCTTGGAAGCGACCTTTCCGTGGGAGGGGTTTCTCTACAGCGTGGGTAAATGGATCCGGATGAGAGATGAGGAGGTCAACCGACAGTTGAGCCGGCAGCCTGCTGCAGACGACATGCGTGATCAGCTCGAGGAAGCGGTCAACCGTCGCAGCAGTCTTGATCAAGAGGCGGCACGCGAAAAAGCAAAGGCAGTTGAGACTACGGCGGTTGACTCTACAGCAGCCGACTCTACAAGCGTGCGACCTACAGTGGAAGCTCCAGCTATGGAGCCAGTAAACCAGCCGCGACGGGAGTTGCTGCCAGCAGCCGAGATCAGAGAGAGGAGGGCTTCTTCAAGAAGGTAAGAATGCGTCGAGGATTTGATGTCATGTTAGTAGGTTCTGACTGTCCAGTTCCTTTCTGAACGCCGCTGCAATCCGACATCTTTTCGAACGCGAGGAACGGTCAAAGTCTGCGCAGAGAACACCAGAGCCGCGCACACGGCGGTCCGACTTTGCTGGGTTCATTTCGCGACATGCAGCAGGGGAGCCAAGTGCCAGCGCGGCTGGCTGGACGAGGCCTGCCTCGGAAGCGCCGCGAGTCGAGGCTCGAGAGAGAGAAATACCGGCGTCGCCGGAAGCGGACGTCTTCGCTGACCCGGACAAGACGATTGTGGCCGATTCGCAGTGGGAAGATGCCGACGGCAATGCTCGTGCGGATCGGGGGGAAGCGCGCAGACCTGATTTGACTGTCCCGGAAAGGCGTGAGGTGGAAGCGCCCCTGCCAGGACCATCTTCGGCGGAGGTCTTGGCCGTGATTCAGCGGCACAAGGAGGCTACCAAAGCGAAACCGCGACATTTGTTTATTGACCGGCAAGAAAATGCCACGAGAGTGTCTCCGATCTCGGAGAATTCGCTGGTGCCTGAGACGGTGAATCGGAAGCGAAAGCGCGTGGAGGTGCCGGAAGAAGAATCTGACGAGGAAGCGTTTACTCAAGACGAGCGTCGTGTCGACATTGTACTGAAGCGGGCTCAGAAACCGCAGCAGAAGAAGCCAAGATTGGAGGACACACAAACGGACGACGAGGAGCCGGGGGAGCAGCTTCGGAGTGAACTGGCTTCGTCGGCAGCTCCGACTCCTCACCGGGAACATGCCTATATGGCTGGCGGTGCTGCGCGGGTGTCATCTCCCACTCCGGCAGCAGCAGCACCGGCAGCGGCAGCACCGGCGCCTGTCCTGCAGGCACCACGACCATCGGCAGTGTCGAACGTGGCGATGCCGCAATCCCGACGACGGTGGTCGCTGGAAGAGAACGAGCGACTGATCTACTTGGTGGGGAAATATGGGACGTCGTGGGCGGAAATCAAACGGCGGGACGAGCTGTGGCCTGAGAACAGGGGAGGGCCACGCCTGACGGATCGCGATCAGACGCAGCTGAAGGACCGGGCACGGAATATTGTGATCGAATATTACAGGTGAGTACCGTCTAGGGTTGTGAGTAAGCGCCTGCTCATCGTGATGTTAGGAGCGGGCAGATACCGCCGAAGAACTTTGAGCTGGTGACGATCAAGAAGAGCGACAGGGACAAGCTGCAGAGGATGGGCATTAAGATTCTGAGTGCGGAGGAGATTGCTAAGTTGAGGGATCGCCGAAGACAGGGTGATCGCACACAAGTTGGGTAGATTGTGCTTCTGGATTTGATGCAACTGTATTTGCTAGCTGTGCTGCTGCTGCTGCTGCTGTTGCTGCTGCTTGATTAAGATACCCTTTTGCGTGTTCCTACGGTGTTCAATAGGAAGGAATTGGCTATTCTCGATGGATTGTTGGTTGGTTGATTGATTGCGATAAAAGTGTAATATGGTTAGGTTGTATTCAGGTAATTATTTATATATAAGTCATATTAACAGAGATTCTACCGGGTCCTAGTTCCACATTCAATGACCGTACTGTATGATATATATCAAGCCGATACCTATCTACCATAAGATCGATCATCTGCACGTTACTGCCATCTTATTCAATTCATCACGACCAACGTCACCAATCTTCTTTCCTTTTCCTTGTATAGTATCGTAAGTAGTATATATACTATAGTAGAGAAGAGATATAGCCTAATCACCACCAACCCAGACAGACAGACTCCATTTTCAAGTCATTCCCCTCCAAGCCATTCTTTACTTCTTACTTACTTACTTCCATCCTCCGACTCCGTCGTCTTCTTATTCTTCTTCAACAACTCAACCAACCTCCCCGCAACCAACTCCCCCATAAGATCATACCCTTCATCCGTCAAATGCAATCCATCATCCCAGATCCTCTCCCTCTCGTTCTCAGAGAGGGAATGATACGGCAATGCGGAGTGGAGATCGAATGTGTAGCTGACAAACACCCACATTAGCAGAGCTTAAATACTGAGGGTTAGGGTAATGCTGAGGGTGGGGGATAGTACAATCTCTCCGCCCTATGAGCCAAAATCTTCGCATTCAATTCGTCCCGGCGACGGGTGAGCCGGTCGCTGATGGCGGAGCATTCGGGGATTGTTAGTGCGAGGACGTTTGTTCTGTTGTTGCTTGTCGAGGAGGTGAGGGCAGTGGACCAGGCTTGTTGCAGGGCGGCGAAGATTTGGCTGGGGGAGAAGGTGCCGTAGGCGAGGTCGCTATAGCAAACATCGTAAGAGAGTGAATATAGATTGCAAGAAGGCTAAGTAGGGGATAAGAATTAAGAATACATACTTCGTCCCCCCAAGAACAATAACCCAGTCATAAGCCGTCTTGCTGCCTGCAGTAAGGATACACAATCAGTCAGTCTGTCTGTCGCACATAAACACCCTATCCATAATATATTTATTGTAGGATAGGGAGATATACACCTCCCCTCCATCCTCCCCAAAAACCTCCCCGGAGGCGAAACGGCCAAGTCACCCGGAAGACCCTCGACATCGATGACGATGTCCGTGTTTGGCGGAAGCAACTCTTCTTCTGTAATGCTTTGTTGGAGTCGCTCTTTCAGTTTGATTGCGTAGGGGTGGTATTCGAGGCCGTAGTGCCAGTATCCTGCTGTGAGAGAGTTGCCGAAGCAGAGGATGCGGAGGGTGTTGGTATTATTATTATTATTGTTATTTGGCATTGTTGGATGGATGGGCTTATGTTGTATGTATAGGGAGGGAGGGGTGCTGTGCATGTATATGCTGTGCTGTATGTATAGGATAGGGGAATAAAAATCTATAGAAGGGTTGATTTTTTTGATTCCGAGATGAGGATTCTTAATATTTAATGTTTGTTGGTTGACAATGTCTGTTGAAGATTATCAATTTATATTAATCGATAAATAATTAATATATTATTATTAGAAGGTTGCACCCAATATAGCTAATATTAGGCAGCAGTCTAATTAAATCAACAAGGTTAGTTTCAAGGTTAGTTTCCTTTCTTCGTTCTTCATGCATCGTGATTCGTGAAACCAATATTATCCGTAGAACTGTACGGAGTACTCCGTACTTAGTATGGATGTATGTGTGGACTAGGAGGAGTTGGTACCTAAGGCATCTATCTACCTACCTACCTACTTGTTTATTTTGTACAATACCTGGACAGTGGATTATATCTATCTACTTGATACAAAGGATGTATCTGATATCTATTAATTAGATGTAGATCTGGTTATCTGACAAGTGTATTTGTATACGTATTTGGGTCAACTTACCTATGTACTCCGTACCTATGTACTGTACATACATGTGTAGTGCTGGTAGGTATGAAATTTGAACAGTAATGAATAAATAAACACTGCTGAATGGACCCAAAAGAAAAAGTAAAAATAAACAAAATATTTTCCTTTTTTTTTAAAAAAAATTTAAGAGTAAAAAAAGGAGGCTTCTACCCTGTCTACTTAGCCGTGTTCATCGACTTCTACTCAAACCGCTCGCGTTCTGGCCAATCTACAGCATAAGTATACTATTCTCTTCCATTTCATGCCGAATCCTAGTAATAATTTCGTACTGTACATACCTAACCACCCATCAACTAGTTCAATTGCCTTTACCTGTATCCTCTGCCATGTCGGTATATCTACCGCTGGATGCTTTATATAGCGATTCCGCACAGCGGAATGATGCAGACGTGACATGTCTGATTCTTGCAACCGTTGATATTGATTTCTTGTTCAGCTACGTATCACAACGATAGCCATTGCTGCAGCCACAGCCATCAGCGAGGCACTCACTTCCCTACTCGCCGCGATACTGGCGTGTGTCGACGACGCAGCCGCAGCAACCGCGCTGGACGGGGATGGCGACGAGGATGGAGACGCTTTTGCGACAGCCCTCGACGTGGCGATAGCTGCAGGCACAGAACTGGCGACAACAGGCGTGCTCGACGGCACGCCCAGTGCCGAGACGGATCCGTCGCCGTCGACAATGATGCCTCCCAGCAGGGTGGTTGCGGTGGGCGTGTGCGGGGGCGCCGTCAGAGTTCCGGACATGAAGAGCAAGTCTTCTTGAGGGGAGGAGAGAACGGTGTATGCGTTGGTGCCGCCGCCTGTATCAACAAATACACCATGTTACTTACTGTAGTTACTAGGCGGATAGGGATGATACTCACATATATCGGTCGGATAGCCCGCGCAGAGTGTATTGCACTCGG